CTGTCTGGCCTCTGTTGGCGATAGAGTGAATATCATCTGTCGTTTCTCTGTTGGTGATTGGGTAAATATTGATTACCTGTCTGGCCTCTGTTGGCGATGGAGTGAATGTTCACTGTCGTTTCTCTGTTGGTGATTGGGTAAATATTGATTACCTGTCTGGCCTCTGTTGGCGATGGAGTGAATGTTTACTGGCGTTTCTCTGTTGGTGATTGGGTAAATATTCATACCCTGTCTGGCCTCTGTTGGCGATGGAGTGAATGTTTACTGTTGTTTCTCTGTTGGTGATTGGGTAAATATTCATTACCTGTCTGGCCTCTGTTGGCGATAGAGTGAATGTTTACTGTCGTTTCTCTGTTGGTGATTGGGTAAATATTGATTACCTGTCTGGCCTCTGTTGGCGATAGAGTGAATGTAATCTGTCGTTTCTCTGTTGGTGATTGGGTAAATATTCATTACCTGTCTGGCCTCTGTTGGCGACTGGGTAAATATTAATTACCTGTCTGTCCTCTGTTGGCGATGGAGTGAATGATAGGGTAAATATAAATGAACTCGCAGCCGTCTCGGTTCGCTAATTTGATAGGGTGGATATAATCAAAATCTCGACTGGTTATTGTTGATGGGGTAATTTGATTTAATTGTCAGTCCGTTGTTATTGATGTGGCGAGTATTAATTATCTCTCGTCCCTTTGTTGTTGTAATAGTATTTATTTTCGGGGAGGCGTGACGTTATTGAACATTCCGTACAGCATGTCGTGGGGAGGCGTGGCGAGATTGTACATTCCGTACAGCATGTCGTTGGTAGGCGTGGTGTTATTGTACATTCCGTACAACATCTCGTAGGGAGGCGTGGCGTTATTGTACATTCCGTACAGCATGTCGTTGGTAAGCGTGACGTTATTGTACATTCCATACAGCATGTCGTGAGGCGTGACGTTATTGTACATTCCGTGCAGCTTGTCGTTGGTAGGCGTGACGTTATTGTACATTCCGTACAGCATGTCGTAGGGAGGCGTGGCGTTATTGTACGTTCCTTACAGCATGTCGTGGGGAGACGTGACGTTATTTTACATTCCGTACAGCATGTCGTGGGGAGGCGTGGCGTTATTGTACATTCCGTACAGCATGTCGTAGGGAGGCGTGGCGTTATTGTACGTTCCTTACAGCATGTCGTTGGTAGGCGTGACGTTATTTTACATTCCGTACAGCATGTCGTGGGGAGGCGTGACGTTATTGTACATTCCGTACAGCGTGTCGTGGGGAGGCGTGGCGTTATTGTACATTCCGTACAGCATGTCGTTGGTAGGCGTGGCGTTATTGTACATTCCGTGCAGCATGCCGTGGGGAGGCGTGACGTTATTGTACAATATTTACATTTGGTGTGGCAAAGCCCTTCTATATTACTACTAAAGTACTGCCAATAGCAGCTTCATCTTATGAGACTATAACTGAAGTTGGTCTTTGCACCTCCGAGCGACTTAACAGTGTCACTACCGAACTTATCGGTATCTTCTGCTTTGATCCCTAACACCAGCTGCCTGTCTCAAGTGTCTGTGAGATCAACAAACAATTTTACGCCTGGATTTTTCACCAATTCAACCTTCTCCGGTTGCACGATCAACATCAACAACATGCCGGACCGCAAATATAACTCTGACCTGATTACTGCGGGCTTCCGTTGAGTGCGTGCGCCGGATATAGGTCGCAATAAAATCGGAAACTGTTTTACGAAACTTGAATAGTTACTTACAAAATGCCATTTGTTACTATTTATGAATCGAGAATATGATATATATATAAATCAAAATCAAATGAATTATGAACAAAAGTTGCGGAGTCTTTTCAATTTTGTATGGGAAATAGCGCATGACGTCAGCTGTTATCTTTGTGCCGTTCTAGATACTGACCTGACCTGACGGTAATAAGCGGAAGATTTGAAATTTGGAAAAGACATTTTTTTTTGCGAATTCTCATTATGGAAATATAAATATAAGCAATAAACTGCATAGATGTGGCAGACCAACTGGTATAACTGCCACATGTGTCACAGACAAACTGAATGGTGCGCCCTAATCTATGCAGTTTATTGCTTAATTCGGTACAGCATGTCGTGAGGAGGCGTGGCGTTATTGTACATTCCATACAGCATGTCGTCGGGAGGCGTGACGTTATTGTACATTCCATACAGCATGTCGTCGGGAGGCGTGACGTTATTGTACATTCCGTACAGCATGTCGTTGGTAGGCGTGGCGTTATTGTACATTCCGTGCAGCATGCCGTGGGGAGGCGTGACGTTATTGTACATTCGGTACAGCATGTCGTGGGGAGGCGTGGCGTTATTGTACATTCGGTACTGGTAGTTGTGTTTCACGGTGGTGTGTCACTCTGTGTGTCATACCAAGGTTTCAAGATTGTATTTGTTCAATCAGTCGCACTAGTGCAAAACAAGAGGTCATACAGTTGGTACATTTTAAACATGGCGGAACATAATATGATACAGTATGAAGTTGATATAATAAAAAAGAATGAGAAAAGACCTGGCATTTTAGTCAAGCTTGGAATTTTACAATAGTTATCTGGTACATGTATATTCTGTATATGTATATTTTTCGAATATTGCATATCAAATCATATTTACATTTGAATAAATAGTTAGACTCATCCCCAATTTCCTCATTATATAATGCACACTTTCAATCCAGGCGTGGCAAGCCTGAATGGTTTAAAACGAGGAAAACGGAAAAAGAGTTTTTCAAGTTTCCCGTAAAGCAGACATACATGTAGGCAATCACTTGGTACGATTACGTCATCGATATATATATATATATATATATATATATGTCACGTTTTAAGTTTTAAGAAGTGATCTTGATTTTTGTTTTATTTATTTATTCATTTATTATTTCATTTGTCACTATTTGGTGGTGTTACAAATGGATATAACAAAATCCGTATTGAAACAACCAGTGGCGTAGCACACATGTATGGGTGTATGCACAAGCATACACTAAAATGTTCAAGATTTTATTTAAATCAGATATTTTTTTTTTTCTATTTCTATTTTAATGATCAATATGGACTGTCCGTCAATCATAAAAAGGAGGGGGGGCGGATCTTGAAAATTTTAGTCTGATAAAATAATGTTGTTATGTTACGTCTATACATATTGACAAATCTCGAAGGTTTATGTAAATCAAAAACTACATATACTTAGTGAAGTACAAAATCTAATCTTATTCATATAAAAAGTCGGGTGTTACTAAACTAAAACTAAACGGAGTTCTCAGAACACGAGAGATTGTACTAGGGTCTAGTAGACCTGTAGCTGTGGGAGCTCGGACGCTCGACCCTCTGTAAGCAATGGTACGCCACTGACAACATTTACACTGTACAGTCATAGTGTTACCACGTCCACGCTGATGAAGTCAATGATAACAATACAGTACCAAGTGATGAAGTTAAAGAAGGTGTACCACGTGATATTATATTGTTAAAGTAGATATACCACGTGCTGTCTGAAGGCTAGAGTAGATTTATCTCGTGATGTCGGAAAGTTACAAGGGGCCAAGTGAAGCCGATACGCGACAGTAGGTAGTACATGATATCATGTCGTACAAGTTACAGCCGGGTATACCACGCGATGTGGCAAAAGATGGTTGTACAATCAAGTAAAGTTAACTTTTTGTACCGTGAAATCTGCTGAATGTACCACGCGATGTAGTAAAAATTAAAGCTTGGTTTACCACGTGATGTGGTAAAGTTAAATCTGAGTGTACCAGTCGATTTTGTAAAGAAACATCTGGGTGTACCACATGGATTGCCATTTTGCTATGGTCGGGAGTTTAGCGTTTCGATGAACCTGAAAGCTATGCTGGATAAGAAGACCCATACATGTACCAGGAAGGTCAATAGCGAGAGAACAGACAAAGAGCAGTCCACCCATTCCTTTTATATCTTGGAACAGGGACTTCCCCGATGGCAATGTGCCTATTGGCATAGGCGAAGTGTACAGTGGCAAGATGGGAACAATAATGTGTATAACGCACTCAACTGCAGCAGTTTAGACCGTTTTTTTAACATATTTCTATGTTTAATCCTTCTATTTCTTGTCATCCCTCACATTCGGCTATATTGTAGAACCATGTGAGGAAGGCAGTTTTGCTCTGTCAACAGGCCGGGACATGCCAACGTCCTTAAAGGGTAGCTGTTTCCCCCTGCTAGACGTTTAGCATGGTTTACTCGTAGTCAATATAATGTGACCGAATTAAATACTGTGCTGAGTGCCTTTGGCAGAGTTTTTCAGTGATGTAGGAAAATGAGGGATATCGAGGAGCATATACACCAACATGTCGCCTCAAGCAAACACCCATACATTAAAGACATCGAGACATGTCACCAAATCTTATTTAACCAAATTCAACCAAACCACCAAGTGATGTTAAGGGTGGATATATCACATGGTAACGTCACAGCTGACCGTGCGATGTGGTTAAATTAAGGATGGGTGTATCACATGGTAACGTCACAGCTGACCGTGCGATGTGGTTAAATTAAGGGTGGATATATCACATGGCAAAGTTACAGCTGATTTAACCACGTGATGTGATAACGTTACAGCTGGGTTTAGTCAATAGCTGAATTCTCAAAATGCGTGGTGACTATACTAACAGGGGAACATTTTTGTTTGACTGAGCAAACACACATAATATGTACAAGTAAACGGTATTCCCTTGCCTACTTCCCTGTAGGGATAAGGTACGGGCTATAGTGCTGTAATACATGGTGAAATTACAGGTCAACACTTGAGATCCGGGAACACATTTACCTGGTCATACGAGGCGAGTTCTATCGAAGCGATAATAATCATAAAGACTGTTTAACAGACATATTATAAACTGATATATCATAAGCAAGCACTGCTATACTCACATTTGTACACACGATCACTAGGTGTGCAATTACGATTTATTGATAAAAACTATTTCATTTGGTTTATGCTCTAGTGTCCTCGATATAGATGTCGGAGAAAAATCTATAGTAGACATGCAGTCATCCTCGAAATTCCAGTGCCGTTTGCGCCCACTTACAGATATAAAAAGCCTTCCCTGGTGTGTAACATTTCCTTATTCCCATTCCTTTCTATGGAAGACTTGTAAATAGCAAAAACACCCGATAACCCGAACAAACAATTCAAAATACTTTCCGTGTCTGGACGAGGTGTCGTAGAATCGGTTTCATTAGTAGAACAAAGAAGGATAACTCTAATAAGATCAGACGTGTTTGTGTATTGTTTTTGATACCTGTCCTCCTGCAGTACAGTAATCTCCACTTAATTCAGTTTCCGATATCACTGTAGCGCAACTAGGCAAGGTTATTATCATTCGCCAGGTGGTTCAGCTGTAGTGGTAGTATAATGATCTGAGGTCCAGCATTCGCCAGGTGGTCCAGCTGTAGTGGCAGTATAATGATCTGAGGTCCAGCATTCACCAGGTGGTTCAGCTGTAGTGGTAGTATAGTGATCTGAGGTCCAGCATTCGCCAGGTGGTTAATGCTGTAGTGGTAGTATAATGATCTGTGGTCCAGCATTCGCCAGGTGGTTCAGCTGAAGTGGTAGTATAATGATCTGAGGTCTAGCATTCGCCAGGTGGTTCAGCTGTAGTGGGAGTAGAATGATCTGAGGTCCAGCATTCGCCAGGTGGTTCAGCTGTAGTGGCAGTATAATGATCTGAGGTCCAGCATTCGAATCCTGGTCTAGTCCCGTTATATTTTCACACTCAGAACACTGTTGCTGATTTTGTTTTATTTGGGCTGTTATTTTTCATAAAAGTAACATAAGTTATCTTTTCTATTTGTACAGAAATTGATTTATCAACGAATTAGTCATGCCGGGAAAACGGTTTCAAATACATTGTTATAATTAGTATTTTTGTATGTGCTAAGGCCACCCTAAATACCATCTGATTAAACAGGTTTTACTGTATAGTCTGGATCCTGACCGACACATTTGTGGTTTAACAGTATTTCTGTATGTTCTAGGGCCATCTGGTTTAACAGTATTTCTGTATGTTCTAGGGCTATCTGGTTTAACAGTATTTCTGTATGTTCTAGGGCCATCTGGTTTAACAGTATTTCTGTATGTTCTAGTGCCATCTGGTTTAACAGTAAGTGTTTCCTTATGTTGTAGGTCCAGACCGAGATGTCCAATAAGGAGAAGGACCTGGTGGCCCGCCTACTAAAGCAGTCTATCCTGACGCTGTGTAAAGAGACGGTGTCTTTCAATCATAACCTCGAGGTGGACGGCATCATCAGCATCACTCTCGAGAACGAGTCCCAGCAGATCGTCATCAAAGTTCACGAGTACTTCCAGAAGATTCGAGACGAGTCGGCGCTGCCGAACGCTGACAATTTTTCTGAAGAGGATGGATCGATAGAGCGGTATGAGAAACAACCCCGCGTAACAAACATCATACAACGTAAGGGGTATTCCGAGACCTTCCGTCCCCAGCAGCTGTCAGCCGGCGATGCTGCGCCTAGTAACAGACTGCGTAGTCCAAACTCTGGCAAGTTCACCAAAACCGTTCAGAAGGCGTGGCCTGATGGTTATTCTGTGGCCGACTCAAGTCTTCCGCCGTCAGGGGATGATGATCTGTCGCCACAGGAAGAACCTTCCAGCATGTCGTCCAGCAACGACTTCGGGAGTGCTCCCGTCGACTCGGACCTTGACGATATGGACGACGATTACGACGAAGATGAGAAAAAATTTGATCCGAGACAACAATCGGCAACTAAATCTCTAACTTCTGGGCACGGGGTTCCAATGAGAAAACCAATTGTCCATCGTCTCATGGCTCAGAAGCTGGTGGCCAACGCAAGACGAAATCCTAAGATTAATACCACTTCGCGGTCGTTAACAGGCGAAAATCCTAAAGTGGCTAATCTCAACACCGCGGTCAATACCACGGGAACATCCGTGTCGTCTCTTCCCGCTAAAAACATTCGCTGTAAACGATGTGGAGAAGTTGCTTCCGACGGACCGGCGTTCGTCCATCATAACCTCAACGTACATAATGTGTTCACTTGCCAAATATGCTACAACACTTTTACGTGCCGTAACAACATGAAACGTCACATACGATTGCACACAGGCTACAAGCCATACCAATGTTCTCTGTGCTCCGAAAGCTTCACTCGAAAGGACGATATCAAACGACATCTTATTCGTCACAACTACAGCAAACCGTTCCGCTGTAACCTGTGTGGGAAGGGATACATGGACAGGAAGACAATTAAAACACACATGCGTAAAGAACACCTGCGGAAACTTGTCCATGTTTGCCCAACCTGCGGTGAGAGCTTTGACGACGATCAGAAATTCCAGATCCACAAGAAGGAACATCCAGAACTAAAGGTTTTCCAGTGTTCTGTGTGTCACTTCACAGGGTCCAACTCCCTTATGTACAACAAGCATCTCCTCACACACGACCCATCCAGGACCTTCCCGTGCAAGGCGTGTGACCTTGATTTCAACGACCCATTTAAGTACACCAATCATGTGAAGCGGCATCGCTACGAGACCAACTTCAGGTTATACAATTGCTGCTTCTGTCGTCAAATCTGCTCCACCTACGACCAGTTCATAAAACACGAGCATACACACGCGCAAGCTAAGCGACACACGTGTACGATTTGTTTGAAACAGTTCAGATACCCTTCAAATCTTCGCGAGCACATGGTCACTCACAGCAACTATTTCATGCATGGAGCGAAGGAAGAGAATGCTGCTATCAACTCCAACAATCGGTCACCGGAAGTACAGAATACTATATCGAAACAGGAAGTAACCGCCTTGTGTATTGATCAGGAGGATGTTGAGTACACATCGGAGTTTATCAAAGGAGAGGAAACTCTGCCTGCTGATAGTTCGAGTCAGTACTGGTGTACAGAGTGTCAGCAGGGCTTTGAGACCGAGGATATGCTGACGGAACATATAACGAGAACACACGAAATGTCAATGGACGAGACGTCACCCAACTCGGACGACGGTAATCCAAATAAACGCACAAAAGTCGAAGCATGCACGTCCTTGGACATTTGTACACCAAACGCCGATCCCACTGATTTGGTGACGTCATCAGGCTACCCGACCAATCCTGTGGTGGCAACAGGTCAAACATCTTTACTGACGACATTGACAAACCCGTCTTGTCGTAAAACGACGGTCAGAGTCAAACTCGGGGACAGCTCCTACCGCAGCGTGGTCGTCAAACAGGAGCCCGATTCTGACTCGGACGGGGCGTCCGGTGATCACCGTCACTCGCCGGATCACTTCAGTATCGCGTCGCCTCATTCCTCATCGACGTCACAACACGAACAGATGGACAATGGTCCTGTTTTCCCACAAAACGGAGACCTAGAGAAGAAGTTGGTCATTCAACCGGCGCCTATAAAACTTAGTGTGCGCTCTCCAGGATTCGAACGAGTTGTAACGCCCGTTTCTCTCTTTAAGAACGAGGAATCATTCACATGTGACGTTTGCAGCGACGTGTCGACCGATTTTGAATCCTACGACAAACATAATAACACGATGCATCGACGCTTTTTGTGTGAATACTGCGGTAAAACTTTCACGTCCAAGCCGAACAGAGACCGGCACGTGCGCTATCACACGGGGGAACGCCCTTTCAAGTGTGAACTGTGTTCGAAATCCTTCTTCCGGGGGGACGACCTCAAGTACCACCGCACCACCAGGCACGCCGAGGTCAAACCTTTCTCGTGCACCAAATGTGTCATGACCTTCGCTTGGCACAACGACCTGGAGCGCCACCTAAAAACACACAGGACATAAGAAGATCGTGTGTGTTGTTGACGAGAACAAACTGTTTAACGGTGTTCAACATTGTTTTAAAGTTTGTAACTTTAGTTATGTTATGCATGCTTGAATTCTTTGTGACGTCGTTGATTTATCAATGAGTGGCTTGTTTCAATGTTTACATTTTTTGTGCGACCGAACAATTCCATGTTATATATTTGTCCCTTTCTGTCATTTATAAACGTTGTTAGAGGTTTACCTGCAATGTTCCTTATCATGTCCTGACGATAGCACGCAGTTCTCATTTGATTTTAAAGTCTAAGACGCATAAGGGACGCATTTTAATCATTTGTAGTGTGTGGGGTTTTTTTATCGAATTCCGACTAGATTGGTGCCAAAACGGGAAAATAGTACAATGATATTATGAACTCACAGTCGTATTTGGTGACACCGCTATGTTGTCTTTAAGTCAAGACCTTGTGATCACAAAACAGCCTTAGACAGAAGTCAAGCGTTTAAAAGTGTCGATAACATAAATAAAAGGGGAATCTAGCCAAAGACAGTGTATTAACGAACTTAGTCTGGTACTGTTGGGGTTATGTCTAATATTTAATAGCGGTGGATCGTTTCCTTTTCGAATTATCTCGGTAAAATGCAAGTGTCGAGGCTTCACGGTTCCTGGGCAAGTTTGCCTACATTGTTTCTAGATAAACTTTTCTTTCCTTGGTCAGTTAGTGAACAGTTTTAATAAGGTCACATTTCGTTCATAAGGCATTTCATTCCCAAACGAGTGCCATAACCTAATATTTAGTTGGACATCACGTTGATTTTGCCGTTATAGTTGGTATATCGTAATGATTTATATTCTACTTTATTAGATCAAATCTTAACCATTGCACATTATTTTGGTAAGCACTTTATGTTATATGGAAACCTACTTCGCGGTCCCAGTTATCTTTATCATTGCCGCTTTTTCAGGTATCTGACCGCTTTGACTTTAACATACTGCTAAGTGACCGCTTTTCTATATGAGATTGACGTTAACTTTTTCTCGACGTTTATATTCATCTGAAGCCCGTGTTTCAGGCTGATAACCTATTTACAATTGGTGCTGAGTGTGTGTGGTCTCCCCGATGTAGGTGTCAACAGTGCCTTGTGATATGGCTCTCCTACTCCAGTACAGCTAAAGCGGTCAGGGATTGAGGTAGCCAATATTGTCAAGGTTTTATATTGATATTTGTTTGGAACAATAAGTGAAATAGCTTTTGTAAATATGGAGTGGTCATTATCGGTGACATCTGTTTCTGTATTTATTCCAGTATGTCTTTATCTATACATTTGTAGTCATGTTCCATTTGTCTACAGTTGGCTTACATCATCAGTTGTTGTTTATGTCTACAGATGTACCAATAATTATGTTTTTGTCTAATCAAAAATGAAAACAGACGACATAGCAAAACGTCAGGAAGTCAGTTCACTTTAAAGAACCATGGTGATAAATTGAATACTTAGACAATTCAATCATGTTATACAAATTATTTGTCCAGATCCTTCGCTGGAAGCAAGTACGTTTTTGTGTATAACTCCCGAAATAGCTGCAAATTTGATGCATCACCTTGAAATACCAAACGCACCTTTTGTTACCTTAATATATTGTGGGCGTTTAATTGTGCCTTCATACAGATGTATGTTTAAGCGTCTTGTTGATGCTTTGATTGTGTCATCATACATGTGTTTGTGTCAGCGTCTTTTTGATGTTTTGATAGTGACGTCTTACCCGTGTTTGTTAAGCGTCTGATTGACGTTTTTATTGTGGTGTCATTCATACGTTGATGGTCGTGCTTCCTCACAAGATTAAATTATTTGAATTTCAGAAAACATTCTACTATAGCGTACATAACTGATATTTTGAATATTCCCAGCGTGCCTTATACAGAGATGCATGTCAATGTCCAATATATTTTGTATTTTTACACTATTTGCAGAGTTTTTGAATTCAACCTTATTTTTGCCTTTTTGACGATATTGCATACATTGTGTAGTTGCACACAGTTCAATTGTTGAATTGATATGCTAACAATCAAATAAAGCTATTGATTTAGACGATCATATATTTACCTTAATACATGCACACATATATACTTACATGGACATTACACCCAGATAGACTTACACCTACAGAACTACACAGAGGATCAATCTACACAAACATTGACGTCTGAATAAGATAACCAACGAACTGCCATTATATTAATGTGTTTTGATATATGAGTCATGCCAATATTGATTGTTTGTAAATAATGCACGGTTTTCATTGCTTGTTAAAGTTTAAAATTATATATTAAATAAATAACAATTTCCCTGATATTTGTCATTTGTGTTATCATTATTTAACCGTGTTACGAATTTCTTTTTTAACATTGCTTCTTTCCGTTATAACATTGATAACTACCGTTATTGCATCGGTATCTTCTGTTATCACATCGATAACTTCTATTGTGACATAAAAACCTTTAGATATGACATAACTTCCTGTCATTTAGTTGATAACTTCCACTATAATATTGACAACCTCCGCTACGCCATTGATAACTTCAGTTATGACATTTGTTATTGCTGCTCTGATAACTTCCGTTTTGATATCTTTAACTCTCGTTTAGACATTGTCCGCATCTGAACTCTGTTTTGATATTATAGATACCTCTGCAATATTATCGTCATGTCTTTGGATAAAAAAAACTTGCGTCAAACTTAATCAATCTTCTTTAACGACCCTCAATGCAGCTGCAAGGCGTTTGTTCCAGCGACACTTGTCTTATGAGCTCAAATGTAACGGCCCTATAGTGTTGAACTCAGTGTTACATTAGAAAAAAAGTAGTGAGATATAATTATTGTGACCGTTATTTTAGGAGACATTCAGTTCTGTTGTGATATATAGCACAGTGGACCACATAGACATAAATGAAAAACTTAAAAACCACTGCAGACTAACTTCCTCGACAGTTCCTGGGGGTGCAGGCTTACTATCCGACCATACCTTGAGACAACAGTGTAGATGATATTTAAAGAGAGTGTATGGCTTTCGATAGGTTTTCTGAAATTGAAGTTAGAAGACCACTTATTAAAAATGTCCGCGCACTTTGTATCTGTATGAGATCTCGGGATATAGCAAGTTTCTTGTTCCCCTCGACCAGGCCTATTTCTCTCGGCTTCGCACCGAGAAATAAAACTAGATGTCCTGAAATCCCGAGGCGCACACTTTAGGGGTTTCAAATTTGGTAAAACCCGAGGGCTTTGCCAAATTTGAAATTCCGATGGTGGAATTTCCCTATTCTACACCCTTAGGCATGAAAGAGTATTTTTCTCTCAAACCATGAATGCGCTTGGACTTGCTACCATTTTGAAAATATAAATTCCCCTCCCGAGCTTTTTAGACGAAAAGGGATATGTCAGCCAGATTAAGCATATCCCATATTTGAAAACAAGGTTTGTGCAGAAATATTAATCTCATCTTTCTAATGTGTACGGTAAATATATTGTAAAGGGTTTTAATTTCATCACGTCGCCTTTTCCGCATTGCGCATTTTTGCGGCATCGGATTTCTTTCCAAATTCGTGACGCCACGTCATTGTTGAGCCATTGTGACGTGACGTCACGTGCAATTGGGTGTAAGACTGTAGGGTTGATTAGCAATGTTTCTTTTCATTATTTTATTGCTGTAATAGTTTTGAATAATGTCACACGCGCCAAAAATGTGAAAGTGTTGAATTTGACAAAAAAATCATTTTTTCGGTATTTTTTTTATCGGAATGCTTAGATTTTCATAAAATCATCTCTACATAGTGACACAACCATTGTGTGAAACTTTCATTGAATTCTGCTGGCTAACTGCGAAAGGGTGGAGCCTCCTTAAGAGTCTTTCCCCGAACACTAATCTCATCTTTCTAATGTGTACGGTAAATATATTGTAAAAGGTTTTAATTTCATCACGTCGCCCTTTCCGCATTGCGCATATTTTTTTTCCAAATTCGTGATGCCACGTCATTGTTGAGCCTTGTGACGTCACGTCACGTGAAATGGGGTGTAAGATCATATACAAAATGTAATGTTAACGTCCCAGGCTAAATTCAGGGTTGACGTGACTTTGATGGATTGTTGAGGTGACGTCATTGTATTGTTGAAGTGACGTCATATAATTGTTATGAAGAAGGGAGTCCCCCCGTCTCAACCCTAGGGTGAGACAAGGAATTATTGCATACTAGACCGATATATCTGCATTTCCGGCGGTGCTGGAAAATTCTATCCGACCCACGGGTCTGGATCGATTACATGCGCAGACTGGCGGGGGAATTATAATGACCTTTCGGGGTCACGGTATTGTTCGTGACGTCATTTTATGACGTTTTGAGGTCAGACAGGGTCATTGACTTCATTAACAATTGCCTCCAGGCTTCATATGCAAATGAGAAATGTGCGGGCAGCTACAACTTTACTAGAAAAGCAGCTGTTTTTACGGGTTTTAGGTAATAAGCAAGAAATAGAACCATCCCTGATGAGGTTATTCAAACCCTCTGGATAAAATATTGAGCAAAATACCCTAGGCAAAAGCCTCGGGTCTCCTGCTGCAGCTCAATATGTTATCCCTTGGGTTTGAATAACCTTATCCATACCTCACATCAGGGATGGATTATATTAATTTCACACCGGTAAAAGTGCGGATACACCTGTACAGGGTAAGAGAAAGAAATTCCTACACCCCTTTCTTACCCTGGACAGCTTTGTCTTACACACCGGGAAATGAGATAATATTGTCGCGAAGGAACGAAGGAGGCCGAATGCATCTGTTACATGTTACTTAACCGAGTTTGAGGAAGTTGTGCTAAAATAGTACCATAGTCGGCTATAAGGAAGTCACACTCTGTAACTCTATGAACAAAAGAAATAACTACATGTCACGTGGTTTGGTCATTACATCATTTTATTCTTGGTTATATAGCTTTTCGTTGAAAATAACATTTTGAAATGTTTTAAATCAATGGTCAACTACGATTGTTGTATTATGTCAGTGTCGTTTCATTGATGTTTTTACATATTCTACACATTAGTTATTAGGTTATTTTGCTTTAGAGCTATGATCACATATTCTACACATTAGTTATTAGAGATAACGTTTAGATCTATGATCACATATTTTACACATTAGTTAATAGAGATAAAGTTTAGATCTATGATCACATATTTTACACATTAGTTATTAGAGATAACGTTTAGATCTATGATCCCATATTCTACACATTAGTTATAAGAGATAACGTTTAGATCTATGGTCACATATTCTACACATTAGTTATTAGAAATAACATTGATGTTTTTACATATTCTACACATTAGTTATTAGAGATAACGTTTAGATCTATGATCACTTATTCTACACATTAGTTAATAGAGATAACGTTTAGATCTATGATCACATATTTTACA